TGGTTGTGGATTTGGTCTCTGCCCGAATTTGTTTTTTGCTCTGGGGTGGTTGTGGATTTGGTCTCCGCCCGAATTTATTGTTTGCTCTGGGGTGGTTGTGGATTTGGTCTCTGCCCGAATTTGTGTTTTGCTCTGGGGTGGTTATGGATGTGGTCTCTGCCCGAATTTGTTTTTTGCTCTGGGGTGGTTGTGGATTTGGTCTCTGCCCAATTCTTTTTTTTCTCTGGGGTGGTTGTGGATTTGGTCTCTGCCCGAATTTGTGTTTTGCTCTGGGGTGGTTGTGGATTTGGTCTCTGTCGATTTGGTCTCTGCCCGAATTTGTTTTTTGCTCTGGGGTGGTTGTGGATTTGGTCTCTGCCCTAATTTTTTTTTTGTTCTGCTTGATCCGGGGTGGTTGTGGATTTGGTCTCTGCCCAAATTCAACTTGCTCTGGGGTGGTTGTGGATTTGGTCTCTGCCCGAATTTGTTTTTTGCTCGTGGTTGTGGATTTGGTCTCTGCCCGAATTTGTTTTTTGCTCTGGGGTGGTTGTGGATTTGGTCTCTGCCCGAATTTGTTTTTTGCTCTGGGGTGGTTGTGGATTTGGTCTCTGCCCGAATTTGTTTTTTGCTCTGGGGTGGTCGTGGATTTGGTCTCTGCCCAATTTTTTTTTTTTTTCTGCTTGCTCTGGGGTGGTTGTGGATTGGTCTCTGCCCAAATTCCACTTGCTCTGGAGTGGTTGTGGATTTGGTCTCTGCCCGAATTTGTTTTTTGCTCGTGGTTGTGGATTTGGTCTCTGCCCAAATTTGTTTTTTCTTGCTCTGGGGTGGTTGTGGATTTGGTCTCTGCCCGAATTTGTTTTTTGCTTTGGGGTGGTTGTGGATTTGGTCTCTGCCCGAATTTGTTTTTTGCTCGTGGTTGTGGATTTGGTCTCTGCCCGAATATATTTTTTGCTTTGGGGTGGTTATGGATTTGGTCTCTGCCCGAATTTGTTTTTTGCTCTGGGGTGGTTGTGGATTTGGTCTCTGCCCGAATTGGTTTTTTGCTCGTGGTTGTGGATTTGGTCTCTGCCCGAAATTATTTTTTGCTCTGGGGTGGTTGTGGATTTGGTCTCTGCCCGAATTTGTTTTTTGCTCTGGGGTGGTTGTGGATTTGGACTCTGCCCGAATTGGTTTTTTGCTCTGGGGTGGTTGTGAATTTGGTCTCTGCCCAAATTTGTTTTTTGCTCTGGGGTGGTTGTGGATTTGGTCTCTGCCAGAGAGTTTTTTTTGGCTCTGGGGTGGTTGTGGATTTGGTCTCTGCCCAAACTCAACTTGCTTTGGGGTGGTTATGGATTTGGTCTCTGCCCGAATTTGTTTTTTGCTCTGGGGTGGTTGTGGATTTGGTCTCTGCCCAAGTTTGTGTTTTGCTCTTGGGTGGTTATGGATTTGGTCTCTGCCCGAATTGTTTTTTTGCTCTAAGGTGGTTTATGGATTTGGTCTCTGCCCAAATTTGTTTTGTTTCTCTGGGGTGGTTGTGGATTTGGTCTCTGCCCAAATTTGTTTTTTGCTCTGGGGTGGTTGTGGATTTGGTCTCTGCCCGAATTTGATTTTTGCTTTGGGGTGGTTGTGGATTTGGTCTCTGCCCAAATTCAACTTGCTCTGGGGTGGTTGTGGATTTGGTCTCTGCCCGAATTTGTTTTTTGCTCTGCTTGCTCTGGGGTGCTTGTGGATTTGGTCTCTGCCCAAACTCAACTTGCTGTGGGGTGGTTATGGATTTGGTCTCTGCCCGAATTTGTTTTTTGCTCTGGGGTGGTTGTGGATTTGGTCTCTGCCCAAGTTTGTGTTTTGCTCTGGGGTGGTTCTGGATTTGGTCTCTGCCCGAATTTGCTTTTTGCTCCGGGGTGATTGTGGATTTGGTCTCTGCCCAAATTCAACTTGCTCTGGGGTGGTTATGGATTTGGTCTCTGCCCGAATTTGTTTTTGCTCTGGGGTGGTTGTGGATTTGGTCTCTGCCCGAATTGTTTTTTTTCTCTTAGGTGGTTGTGGATTTGGTCTCTGCCCGAATTTGTTTTTTGCTCTGGGGTGGTTGTGGATGTGGTCTCTGCCCGAATTTGTTTTTTGCTCTGGGGTGGTTATGGATTTGGTCTCTGCCCAAATTTGTTTTTTGCTCTGCATGGGGTGGTTGTGGATTTGGTCTCTGCCCAAATTTGTTTTTTTTGCTCTGGGGTGGTTGTGGATTTGGTCTCTGCCCGAATTTGTGTTTTGCTCTGGGGTGGTTGTGGATTTGGTCTCTGCCCAAATTCAACTTGCTCTGGGGTGGTTGTGGATTTGGTCTCTGCCCGAATTTGTGTTTTGCTCTGGGGTGGTTGTGGATTTGGTCTCTGCCCGAATTTGTTTTTTGCTCTGGGGTGGTTTATGGATTTGGTCTCTGCCCGAATTTGCTCTTTGCTCTGGGGTGGTTGTGGATTTGGTCTCTGCCCAAATTCAACTTTCGCATGGGTGGTTGTGGATTTGGTCTCTGCCCGATTTTGTTTTTTGCTCTGGGGTTGTTGTGGATTTGGTCCCTGCCCAAGTTTGTGTTTTGCTCTTGGGTGGTTATGGATTTGGTCTCTGCCCGAATTGGTTTTTTGCTCTGAGGTGGTTTTTGGATTTGGTCTCTGCCCGAATTTGTTTTTTTTCTCTGGGGTGGTTGTAGGTTTGGTCTCTGCCCAAATTTGTTTTTTGCTCTGGGGTGGTTGTGGATTTGGTCTCTGCCCGAATTTGTTTTTTGCTCTGGGATGGTTGTGGATTTGGTCTCTGCCCGAATTTGTTTTTTGCTCTGGGGTGGTTGTGGATTTGGTCTCTGCCCAAACTCAACTTGCTCTGGGGTGGTTTATGGATTTGGTCTCTGCCCGAATTTGTTTTTTGCTCTGGGGTGGTTGTGGATTTGGTCTCTGCCCGAATTTGTTTTTTGCTCTGGGGTGGTTGTGGATTTGGTCTCTACCCAAATTCAACTTGCTCTGGGGTGGTTGTGGATTTGGTCTCTGCCCGAATTTCTGTTTTGCTCTGGGGTGGTTGTGGATTTGGTCTCTGCCTGAATTTGTTTTTTGCTCTGGGGTGGTTATGGATTTGGTCTCTGCCCGAATTTGTTTTTTGCTCTGGGGTGGTTGTGGATTTGGTCTCTGCCAGAATTGGTTTTTTGCTCTGGGGTGGTTGTGGATTTGGTCTCTGCCCGAATTTGTTTCCTGGGGTGGTTGTCCCCAAGCTGGAAGGAAGCCATGGGATATCTGCCCAAATTGCTTTGGGGTGGTGGTTTCTTTCACCAACAGCTGGAAGGTATGGGACTGTCTCTGCCCCAATTTTGCTGTGGGTTTTTGTCCCCAAGCTTGAATTGGACTGGGTCTCGGCCCAAATTCAATTTGCTCTGGGGTGGTTATGGATTTGGTCTCTGCCCCGAATTGGCTCTGGGGTGGTTGGGGACAGCTTTCAGGAGGGTTCCGTACAGGGTTCCACAGGGTTTCAGGGGGTTGTTTGGGGTGGTTGGGGATACCATCTGTTGTTTTCTTAGAATCGCGGTTGCGGTGTCTCGCCGCGGCGTTTGCAGCAACTGCGAAATTGCTGACAATCGGTTAATTGTTAGGTGTGAGACACGGCTCCCAGGGACGATCGTCGTTTTAGCCATTTTCCAACAGGAGGCTGTTGCAAGAGGACTGGGGGTCAGCTTCCACGATGGTTGACTCAGGTTAACGGGTTTATTTCCCAGTGCTTTGGGCAAGGGACGTAGTCTTTGTGGCAGCTGAGCATCGGCCTCGGCCCGCAGCACCAGCACTTGCTGGAAAGGCCATTTGTTGAAGGGCTTTGGCGACTACACCCACGGAATCAACAACATCTATAAGACATGGGTATGATTCAAAACTATCCGGGGACCGCAGGATTTAGTCCTTTCCATTTCCCAGCGCAACCCATTTAGGAAATGGCTACCCTGTTCTTGACAGCCAGGCCCAAAAAATCAATTCGTGTCCATTTGCAGCAGCTTGGTCACTTCTCCAGAGAATCTCGAGGGCTGCTTCCAGAGCTTTTTGATCTTCAGCTTCTTCAGCGTTCGCTCTCCACTTCCTTTCCGTGGATGGACGAAAAGATTCACTTTGAAACCATGGGAAGCCATTTTTTGGTGGTATTTACAGGGGAGGCTTTATTCTAGGGTTTCTTGGTGCAGGATTTCGTCCATCCACAGTATCTCTTCCCCGCTGCTGTTAAGAGACTTTTCATTGCAGCGACAACCAACCCTTGCATCTCACGTTTTCAACCGCTCTGACATAGGGAAGGAGCTTGTGAGATGAAGGGATGGGTTTTTTTCTTCTTCCTTCATCTCCCATCTCTTCGCTCGGTCGCTGGTAAGAAGATCCGAAAGAAGAGAGCGAGATGTGGAAGGGAGAAGATGGAAAGGAGAAGGGAGTGAATGAGAGTGAAAGGTGAAAGGAAATGGTGACGAACGAAGGGAGGAAGCAGATGCCTTTCCATTTTCTATCTCACATTCCGTCCCTTTCCCATCTCTATCTCTTTCTCTTCCTTTATGCGCCATATCCTCTATGTGATTGATGGCGTGAAGATCTTCCATCCATACTTCACCTTCGGTGGTTAACATCGCCTTTAGACTTGATGGAGCGATACGGGAGGTGCAAGCATTGTGGGTAAAGCGCATTCATGTTCTCTGTGCGGCTTCAGGTACTATGTGCTCTATGTTTTTTGTAGACACAGGACCAACTTCCCCAGTGTTGAACCTGCGAGATACACGAGCTGCAAATATACTTGCATGCAATCGACTACTGATGTGTGCCCTGCGCAACGCCTTCAACTTGTGCAGTCATTTGCCCCTTTGGAGAAAGCAGGTACCCTCCCACCAGCTTACTTGGAAGTGCACAGACTCCTCTAGAAAGACTACTTTCCTCTTGGAAAGGGCCTTTTTGCACTTCCATATTAGTTGGTGGGAGGGTAAACACAGCCCATTTGTTGGGGTCAAGCGGATTGCCGTCTGGCGTCACCCAACATTCTGCGCGGGAAAGGTTCGGCTTCTGACGCAGCACACCAACGTCAGCAACGAGGTCACCACGATGCTTGGCTGGTCGCGTCGGGTCCTTTGACCTTTTAATACTGTGGATGGACGAAATCCTGCACCACCATTGCTTGTTGGTATTTACAGGGGCAACCATCATTCCTGGGTTTCTCAGGTGGTGCAGGATTCCGTCCATCCACAGTACCTTGAATACATTTCATGCCTTTCACTGTTGGTGGAACGTGTGTGTGTGTGTGTGTGCGTGTGCGTGTGCGTGTGCGTGTGCGTGTGCGTGTGCGTGTGCGTGTGCGTGTGCGTGTGGGTGTGGGTGTGGGTGTGTGTGTGTGGGTGTGGGTGTGGGTGTGCGTGTGCGTGTGCGTGTGCGTGTGCGTGTGCGTGTGCGTGTGCGTGTGCGTGTGCGTGCGCGTGCGCGTGCGCGTGCGCGTGCGCGTGCGCGTGCGTGCGCGTGCGCGTGCGCGTGCGCGTGCGCGGGCGTGTGCGTGTGCGTGTGCGTGTGCGTGTGCGTGTGCGTGTGTGCGTGTGCGTGTGCGTGTGCGTGTGCGTGTGCGTGTGCGTGTGCGTGTGCGTGTGCGTGTGCGTGTGCGTGTGCGTGTGCGTGTGCGTGTGCGTGTGCGTGTGCGTGTGCGTGTGCGTGTGCGTGGGTGTGCGTATGCGTGTGCGTGGCGTGTGCGTGTGCGTGCGTGCGTGTGCGTGTGCGTGTGCGTGTGCGTGTGCGTGTGCGTGTGGTGTGCGTGTGTGCGTGCGTGTGTGCGTGTGGGCGTGAGCGTGTGCGTGTGCGCGTGTGCGTGCGTATGCGTGTGCGCGCAGGCAGGCAGGAGGCATGCAGGCCAGGGAGGCAAGAGGCGTGTATGTGTGTGTGTGTGCGTGTGTGTGTGTGTGCGTGTGTGTGTGCGTGTGTGTGTGTGTGTGTGTGCGTGTGTGTGTGTGCGTGCGTGCGTGCGTGGTGCGTGCGTGCGTGCGTGCGTGCGTGCGTGCGTGCGTGCGTGCGTGCGTGCGTGCGTGCGTGCGTGCGTGGGTGTGTGTGTGTGTGTGTGTGTGTGTGTGTGTGTGTGTGTGTGTGTGTGTGTGTGTGTTTGTTGTGTTTGTGTTTGGGCTTGGGCTTGGGCTTGGGTTTGGGTTTGGGTTTGGGTTTGTGTCTGTGTTTGTGTGTGTTCAACCATTTACCTACAAACATGCTCTTGTTGTTTTGCGCATGGCGCGGTAGCCACCAAGGATCAAGGAGTTCGAGAAGCAGATCGACGACGGCGTAGTGGACGCGGACATCCGGGACAAGAAGCCGGAATACCAGGAGCGCTTGTGCCTTCTTTTTGTCGACCAACAAATTTTCTGCCCCCTTTTTCTATGGCAGGTCTGAGGTTGGTTTGGCAAGGCTGTGAAAAGTCTGGGCTTTGAAGCTTCTTTCTTTTTTGAATAGCCACGTAGCCAAACAAATTGATTCCGGCTTCCCCGAGAATCCCAAAGCGGATGGGCGCGGAAAGACTTCTCCCCCGACAGCACCTGTCCCCCCAATGTCCCATGCAGCATGGAGTTGCGGAACAGCTGACTCAAAGAATCGGTCAAGTAAGAGCCGGTCGCTTGCAACCGGCGGTAAGAGCCGTATGAATCATGTAGAACCTTCACACCCTATCACATTATCGCCCCCAACGTCACACCCCAAACAAACGTCTCGTTTTGCGGTGCAAGCACCGCAGGTTGCAGCATAACCCCAGAAAGAAGCATTTCGACACATGCGGGGTTAGCACGGGCTTGGATGCGAGGTGCAAGTTAGAAAACCGGGTTGGTACTTTGCAACCCGGGGCTTTCAGTTGTGTCAAGTCAAGCGAAAGCCCAGATGTTCAATTACACCCTGCTTGTTTCATTTCTCCTGCACCAGGAGAGATTAAACAGCTAGCTGGCCCTGCAAGTCTCATCAGTGCAATACATTTGCTTCCCAGCCACATGTTTGGAACGAAGCGTGCTCTTGAAATGTTGAACCATGCGGATTGCCCAAATTGGAGTACTCATAGACAAGTTCAGTGATAGGAGCCAAATTTACTCTGTTCTTAGTTTGGACAACCAGTGCAAAGCCCAGCCCCAAATTTCCCACCAAAAAGTCTAGGGGTCTTACTCCACTTGTTCGCATGTTGCAACCGCAACTCCCTGGGGTTCTTGTGGCAAGGACTTAATTTGGATGATGAAAATCGGCAAATTATGGTAATTACATTAACTCTCCATCATGTTAATGGAGGTTTGAGGTTTCGAATGGGTTGCCCTGGCAAATGGAAAGGACAAAACCCTCCGGTTGTATCCCTGGTGACTAGTCTTGACCCATACCCGTTTCACCCATTGACGTTGCTCATACGTTTCACTAGAAGCGTGCCCCTTCCCGGTTCACCCGTCGCATCGATTCGCCGCTTCTTCGAAGTGGCGAAAAAAAGGTGCGGCTTTGCGACCCAGGGCTTCCGGTAACTTATATGTCAGGAACCAGCTTGGTTCCCGCTATAGCAGGGTCATAGAACTTGGTTCCAGGAACCGGGCCAAACAGACTTGAAACATACCCAAAACAGTATATTTTGCGTTGCCGTGCTGTGCGAGTGGTGCATTCAGAGCCTTCAACAGGATTTTGGTGCTCAAAGCAATACATGCAATCAATGAGGAGAATCTTTTCACTAAGTTCATAGAATTGTGTTTGGGACACACAGCAATCAAATCATGTCTGGATCCCGATTGTGCCATGTGACATTGTGTTCAATGCAAAACAGGTTTGGGGGGTCAGCGGATCCGGAATAGAAATCTCGCATTAGTTTTACCATGAAGCCTGCTGGCGTGCCAGGTAATGCCTGTTAACAAGCTGTTCGTGGTGCATATCTGCCCTTTGTATGCTGGGGGGGGGATTGTGTTACGAATTTTCTTCCTGCCATATCCACTTCTGATTGAAAACTATTTTGCATGTTGAGTAGCTTCCTTTATATGGTGGCTGCACCAACATGCTAGCAACATTTGCTAACATACCATTATTGGTGCCAACGGACACGTTCCAAATGTCACCCACGCACAAAGCAAACGTTCGTCCACGATTGCAGGACTGCAGAAATCAGTAAAGAGCGCTTTGTAGCATTTGCGCTGCGACCTCAGTTTAATTTTATCAGCAAACGCCCTGCTTCAGTATGCTAGGCACTTCCCAGGTGGAGTACTGTCGAAAGGGCTACGCGCTGACAATAGCTGTTGTATTCAAGGGCATTGAACCCCGCCAAACGCCTCACACATAAACACATCATACACTCATTACACTTCACAGCGCGTCCCAGCATCCTTCATGCAAGCTTGCACCGTCATCCTTGCTTGCATATTGTGGGACACTATAAGCAACATGTGTGGTCGGACATCCTGTCATCAACAAGCGCTCCAGGAGACTTGAATCTTGCCCACGTGGGTGAATTATACAATTGTTGTCTCAATACCAGCCATGAATATCAGGAGAAAAAAGTCACATCGGTATTTTGGCGTTTGCACATGGAGGCTCGCTCGCCACAAAGCAATATCTCTTGGCATAAGTGGTGGTCTATCCGTTTTGTGCACAGCAAAGTTACCAACTGGAGCGTGTTTGCATGGAAGTAGGTCGTGTAAATATAGGGGTAGGCGCCTTTTGAGCTGTGATTAGGTGAGCCATGTCCTAAACGTGTCGTGATTTGCTGAGTCGCATCATGTGGGTTATCGCACATAGAATGTTTTGAACCCTCTTCTGCGTCAAACCAAGACACGCACAGCATCATTCCGTGGGTGTTTCCGACTATGGTGAGCTGTGTACAGCACATCCCAGGGTGCTAAAACAAAATCCCAAACCCTACAACATCTTTTGCAACCATAGCTGTTTAATGTCCCTTCTCAAAGTAGATGTCAATATATTGTTTGTCCAAAACAATGTTTTATTTCGGAGCAACCGTTTTATATTCGGAGGCAACACACGTTTTGGGAGCAACAGTTTTATATTCGGAGGCAGCACACGTAAATGCACATAGACATGTTACTCATCGAAGTGACTCGGCAAAACATATAATAACCACAACTGCCTACAGAACACTTGCCAGAGTCACACAACACGCAACAAATCACATGCGCACACACGCCAAAATAACCCTGCCCATACTTGCACATTGCGTAGCAAATGAGAAGCAGACCAATCAGCTAAACACACATCATAATCACACTCACGCATCACACACCAACAAACCACGCAAACCTTTCATCACCCGCCAGAATCACACACCACGCGACAAAGCATACTCAAACTCTCCAATTGGCCACAATCAAGCACCACACAATAGATGATGAACATACCTGTCAACGAGCAGCCACTTACCACACAACAAGTCAGAAACACACGCACCAACTGAGTACCCAACATCACATACCACACAACAAAATATATACTCACACCCGCCAACTGAACACGGTTCACATTCACTCATCGCACAAACAAACCATCAGCACCCGGGCCAACCAAACGCCCACAGCCAGCTACCACACAACAAACAAACAACCCATCCGCCAGCTGAACACCCGCCAAACTAACGAACCACGCAGCGAACTCAAAATGCACGGCCACCAACTGAAGACCCGCCGCAGTCGCGTGCCTACAGCGAATAAAAAACGCACACAACCTTCCGCACTCAAACACCACATAATTCATGTTCAAACACTCCCTTTGGACGAGCCCATTATTTCACACAAGTGATGAACACACCCGCTTACAAAGCGCCCGCCGCAGTCACACATTGCGTGACAAAGCAGGAACACACGCCAAGTGAGCACCCTGCACACCTACATAGCACACAACAAAATAATGAGCGGGCCAGCCACCAAAGGCACAGCGCAAAGGATGAACTGAACACGCGCCAACGCGCATCCGCCACAGTCACACACCGTGCAAAAAATGGTAAGCACACCTGCCAACAGAGCACTCGCCTCAGTCACACACAGCATTAACACATAACAAACAAACACGCTCACCAAACGCCAGCCATACTCACACGGTGTCACAAACGAGACGTCCACACTCCAACTGAGCACCCGCTAGAGTCACTCACCAGGCAAGCAAGGGCACTGGCACCACCCAACTGAGCGCCAGCTACAGCCAAAAATGAAAAAACACACTTGCCAACTAGGCACCGGCCATGCGCATGAACCACACAGCAAACTACAAGCACTCGGGCCAACTGAGCAGCCGCCACACCAATACACCGCACAACAAATGAGCAACGCACGCCAGCGACAAACGCTGTGGCAAGTGCTGGGGCAGAAAAACCTGCCAGCGCAAGAAGCGAAACCGGAACCGTTAAAAAGGGCCCGGAACCGTTAAATAGGGGGGTGGAACCGTTAAAAAAGGGGGTGGAACCGTTAGGTAGGGACCGGAACCGTTAGAGGGAAAATCGGACCCAAATTTGGTGAAAAACCGCGTGCTCCATGACTTTCATGCGGAAAACAATGTGTTCCGTCATTTTTTCCAGCACAATGGAAATTTGGGGTGAATCCAGTGTGAATCTAGCAGCAAATAAGCGCTTTGCGCCCGCTAACTGAACCCCCAGCAAGCTAACCCACCACACAACGTGCGCCTGAAGCTCTGATCCCCTCCCCCAAATAGTCAGGTCAACGCCGAACCCGAATGAAATTGAAAACCGATCGTCTCAAAACACGAGCCAGAACTTCCCCTCAAACGTCAAACCTCAACCCTGCGCAGGATTGTGGGCACAATGGTTGTTGTAGCCCAAATTACGAACTCAGCTGAATAACCTTAGGCTGTTGCAATTGCGCCTTGGAATTTACCTGGAAACATCAACATGTGTATGATTTCTGGCTGGTAGACGGCTTTTTTGTTGGGCGTAGCCAGCTCGCTGCTCCGAAATGTCTCTAACGGTTCCGGCCTTTTTCTATCGGTTCCGGGCCCCTACCTAACGGTTCCACCCCGCTTTTTAACGGTTCCAGGCTCCTTAGTTTAACAGTTCCGGATTCGCCCTTCTTGCGCTGGCAGGTTTTCCTGCCCCAGCACTTGCCACATCGTTTGTCGCTGGCGCGTTGCTCATTTGTTGTGCGGTGTATTGGTGTGGCGGCTGCTCAGTTGGCCTTGCTTGTAGTTTGCTGTGTGGTTCATGCGCATGGCCGGTGCCTAGTTGGCAAGTGTGTTTTTTCATTTTTGGCTGTAGCTGGCGCTCAGTTGGGTGGTGCCAGTGCCCTTGCTTGCCTGGTGAGTGACTCTAGCGGGTGCTCAGTTGGAGCGTGGACGTCTCGTTTGTGACACCGTGTGAGTATGGCTGGCGTTTGGTGAGCGTGTTTGTTTGTTATGTGTTAATGCTGTGTGTGACTGAGGCGAGTGCTCTGTTGGCAGGTGTGCTTACCATTTTTTGCACGGTGTGTGACTGTGGCGGATGCGCGTTGGCGCGTGTTCAGTTCATCCTTTGCGCTGTGCCTTTGGTGGCTGGCCCGCTCATTATTTTGTTGTGTGCTATGTAAGTGTGCAGGGTGCTCAGTTGGCGCGAGTTGTTCTACTTTGTCGCGTGGTGCTCACTGCGACGGCCGCTTTGTTAGCGGGTGTGTTCATCACATGTGTGAAATTATGGGTTTATTCAGAGGGCGAACTAAATATGTATACTGTTACTGTGGTGTTTGAGTGTGGCTTCTAATTTTCTCTAGGTACGCGAGTATGGCGGGTCTTGAGCTGGTGGCCGTGCATTTTGAGTTTGCTGTCTGGCTCGTTAGTTTGGCGAGCGTTCACCTGGGGAATGGGTTTGTCTTTGTTGCGTGGTCGCTGGCTGTAGTGCTGATGGTTTATTTGTGTGATGTGTGAATGTGGTCGGTGTTCAGTTGGCGGGTGTGATTATGTTTTGTTGTGTGAAATGTGATTGTGGCAGGTACTCAGTTGGCGCGTTTGATCGCGTGTGTTTCTGACTTGTATGGTGAGTGGCTGCTTGTTGGCAGGTATGTTCATCATGTATTGTGTGGTGCTTGATTGTGGCCAATTGGAACGTTTGAGTATCCTTTGGTTCGTGGTGTGTGGTTCTAGCAGGCGATGAAGCGTGTGCGTGTTTTGTTGGTGTGTGAGGCATGAGTGTGGTTATGATGGGTCTTTAGCCGCTTGGTTTGCTTCTCATTTGCTACGCAATGCAAGTATGGTCGGGTTTTTTTGGGCGTGTGTTTGTGTGCGCATCTGATTTGTTGTGTTGTTTGGCTGCGGCAGGTACTGTAGGCAGGTGTGGTTCTCTGTTTTGCCCAGTCACTTCGGTGAGTAACATGTCTACATACATTTACGCTGGCTGCCTCCAAATATAAACTTGCTATGCAAATAACTGAATGTTGTTGTGAGAAGCGGCATTAAACAGCTATGGCTGCTGTAGAAGTTGTAGGTTTTGGGACTGAAACATTTAAGGGATAGGCGCTGACACAACTCACTGTAGTTGCGGCGCCGTCTTTCCAAACTCCACGGAACAATGCTCTGTGTGTGTGTGTCTGAGTTTTGAAGCAGAAGAGGGCTAAGTTTATGCTATGCGCCATTTGGATTTCCGAATGTAATGGACCCCGCTAATGTGATTTTAGCAATAGTGCGCAATCGGAACAAAGACTGGACAGCGACCGCTGACTGCTGTTCCCTTCCCTGATGCATAGTGGCTTCAAGCAGACTATTATTTCTGGTTGCCCGACAACGCGAATTTCTAGCATTCAAATGGTCTGAAGTTTGCCACTGGCAAAATCCCCTGGAACACGGGGAAAAGGCGAAGCGGGAAAGGAAAGAAGCAGGAACCCCGACTCACTCAAGCAAAACCCGGATTAAAACAATCTCAGATCTCAACCTGTCCCACGCGAGCCCAAACTCAAATTGAACACATCCTAAGCCAATCTTGAACTCAATGTCGTCCAAAACCAAAAAGGGTTTCGGCGGCCCTTAAATCAGCCCTAAATTCGCCCAGCACCTACCGTAAATCAACCCTCAGCAACGCTACGCCCACCCGCGCGCAAGCTCAGGCGGCAGCATATCAACTCTCAAAAAGGAACCAATTTGCCCCCCTACGCTGGTTACCTAAAAAACAGGTAACCGGCCCTAGTTCCGCCAAATCTGTCGCTGAAGCCCAGTTACCCACTATACAAGTAACTGGGAAGCCCTGGGCGAGGCGTATGTGAAGCTGAAGGTCGAGGAGCTGGACTCGGTGAAGAAGCAAAGTGCGGACATCGACGATGAGCTCCGGAGGCTCACGAAGTCCTTGAAGGCCACCGGCACCTTCATCGAGGAGACCTGAGAGAAATTTGTTTGGTTCTGGTTGTTGGGCGCGAGTGTTTGCATGTTTGTGTCTTTGTGGTTGTTTGGTGTGTTTGCGTCTTGGTTGTTTCGGCTTTGTTTGTACAGCTGTCCAGTGACTCCTTCTTCTTATAAGGCGCCCCGTAAAGCTCTTCAAAAGGCTCCCTAACAAGCGCTGCGAGAAGCCCCAAAAGCACTCTCTTTAGTGCTCGGCATGCTACCCCACTAAAAGTGTGATTAGCCATATCTTTGAGTGTCATTGAGGTGTTGCGATAGCAACCATCCGTTGGCATTTGGCTCAAGTTCGGATCCGTTGCGACCTCGGATGAGGGTCGCCGGGTCCCCACGTCGATCACCCACTTGTCGGAGGAGAAAGAGACTTGGGCCCGGGGCTGGTTGGTGGGGAGTGCCCGTGCGGTTCATCGTCGACCCAGGTTGCGGGTATCCTTGTGCGTGGGAAACCCTGATCTTTGGGACCAGGGGTTGGTTACTGTTTTGGGACCTTTCTTTTGTGGCTTGTTTACCCCAACTTTTACAATTGCCTGGGGCACAGGTCCGTGCCCGAGTCACAGGTTATCAGCCGTAGGACTTTCCTGCGTGCTTGTGACCCACGACTACAGGCACTATGACGTCAACCCCACAGAGCTCACGGAGCGTCGTGGATGAGGAGGCTATCCTAGGTGGCCCCCGACGAGGTGAAGGTATGCCGCACTTCATCTACGAACACTTTGAGGAGAGTTCGGCAGGTGGTGGTCGCATGGGTGATGCTCCCGATAGCGACACACCTTGCGGGCGCGGCAGGTTTGTGGATGACAGTGATGATTGATTGTTCCGTCAGGTTACTGATGATGAGCAATCCCAGCGAGCTCGCTCCAATAGGGGCGGCTCCGCTGTGAATTCAGGTCAGGACGAGCGATTTCATCAGCTGTGCGGTGAGCATTGGGAGGCTGGCGGGCTCAAGGAGTCTCAGCCCGTTCGGTCACCAAGGTCGGTGTAGGACTGATTAGGACTGGGATTGCGGAGGAGGACATCAATCGTGTGATTTTCAGGGTCAGTTGATGCGGTTGTTGAAATCCAGAATCCTGGGCAGGTTGATGAAGAGGAATCCCAACCCGCCATTGGATCATCAGGTATGAGTTTCATGGATATCTTGCAAACCACTTCTGGGGACGTGTGGGTTGGCTGCTGATAGGCAGGAATCTGATGCGGAACGTATGGATGCTGTTGATGGGGAGGAGGAGAAGAAGGGCGAAGTTTCGAGCAACATGATGTCGGCTTCGACCCAACGTCCCCCTTTCACTTTCAGGGAATCAATGCAAGGCCGTATTGAGACTCCTATGGTACCGAGAATGCTGAGGTCGTTAGACAAGCTGCGAGCATTCTTGATGAGGCATCTCGTAATGGCAGGCTTGAAGTCGCAAGTGAGGAAAGGTTCAATTAATGCCCACTATTGCGCGAACCGAGTGACGCCGAACCTTATAAGGTCCATTAATGAATTCACTCCTCAATGGGGGGAGGGAGGATCGACAAACAGGGAACGGAGTGCATCGGCAAAGCGCCCATCACCGATAGGTGAAGTGCGTGACAGGTCGAAAGCAAGGAGCCCGGGTATGGGAGCATCTTTCATGAAGCTGAAATGCTGGATGCAGCGGATGTCCATATCCACTCCTGAGTCCAGAAGGTCTGACCGTGCTTCTGCTACCGGCGCTAGCCAAGGTAGGGAATTAAGCCGCCTCAATGATATGAGAAGGAACCTGCCCAATGTCTCAGCTTCTGCCCTAGCATCCTTGCTGCAAGACATGGATGAGAATGGCATGTCAAAGAGGCAACTGAGCCTCTTTTGGGGGCAGCGTATGTCTGGGATGAGCTCATCTTCGGAACCAAGAAGAAGCTTGATGATGTTGTGCTTCTTGCGGTGTTCATTGAGAACGTTCGTCATCTGCGATGCATGAGACCGTTAGGTCTTTCTGAAGGATCTATAAAGCATGCCAGGATTGTGTCGAAAGATAACAAAAGAGGCAGAACGCGCCGACCGCCTCATAAGGAGGAGCCGTTCGGCATCTCTGGGAATGCGAGCGCGCCTGGAGTGGTGCGGAGTCTAACGACCGCAAGGATGCACAGAGTCCTGTACGACCCGTTAGGTCCAGCATGGAAGGTCAGCAAAGGACTCCATCGCTTCGGGCATCGCACGCCATCGCCGGTCTGAGCATGATAAACCCAAGAGCATGAGCAAACCCGCTAGGAATAAGCCTATGTTCTTCGGGTACTGCTATGACTGGATGTACGCAAATGCCCTAAGCCGCCGGCTCCGTGAAGATATTTGAGTTTTATGGGCAGCAGTCTGGCTGCTTCAAACCTTGCAGGGCAGTGTTTCTACAATTTTGCTGCTGGGAGCAATTAACAAAAAGGCCTGGCCCAAACATGCACAAAGGGGTTACAGCTTGGTTCTGGAAGGTTTTGAACAATTCGACTGCCTCAAGAACACAGCAATTGTTTTTCTGGAGGGCTTTGGGGACTTGTGTGGAGTCAGAAGTGCTTCTTTCAGCAGTCGCCAGTGCTTCTCACAGCATCATGCAATTCTAACACATATCCTTGGGGAGCAAGACGCTAGAAGAGGGGGTGCTGGGCAGTGTCCCGTTGGAGAAGGTAGGAAATATATTGACGGTAGGAAATATTGACTCCCCCCCCCCCCCCCGCATTGGCCCGTTTTTCCTGGTCAGCAGTTCGCTGCTGCAAGCTATTGCAGGCGTCGCCTTCCTAGCAAGAAGCCAGCAACACATTCCAAACACAACAATTCTACATAAAAGCAATTCACAATAGCCTGTCTTTACGAGCTGCCACGTATGAACGCAGAGATGCCTCCTTCAGCACCTGCAAGTGCTTCATGCAGCACTGCGCTGTGACAACACTGCGGGAAGCTTAGCAATGAAGCTCAAACATGTGACCGGCCCTATTTCTTCACGCTGCCAATGGTGCCTTCTGGCAAGTGGAACTTGTTGTAGAACATCCTTCCTGTGTGGCAGTTTCCTTCATGTTCGCCACTAGCAAGTCAACCGTGTGGCGAATTCAAACTCCCGGTTGGAGATTAGCTTGTTGGTTAATGGCCAGTGTGCCCCTGAAGAACCGGCGGTTTGTGTAATGTGCACAGTTTCAGCAAAGGATTAGTTAGCCAAGGGCACAGGCTTTGACGAGCTTGCCCAAAGGTTCCTCCCCGCAAATGCTTTCGGATTGCTTGCCCCTTTGATGCTCACAAGGCACTTATCCACTGCTGACGCTGCGCATCCACCAGCTGCCGCCTCAGCAACAATAGCAGCGTGCCATTGCGTGGGCTATTCAGCTAACAGCCTTCTAACGTGTGGATGGCTGGCCACACGTGTTAGTGCAGATTTCAGGACAAATCAGTTGAAACCAGGCCAGTGCTTGCTGACACGGCTGAGTCGGCCATTCTGGGGAAACATGCAGGGCGTTGCGAGTACTGGCAAGGCACACATGACATCGTATTCCCCGAAGATGCAAAAACAGTTAGGGCCTTGTTGGCTTGGCCCTGGAACACGAAAAGCCCAAGCCCCAACATTCACACAACACATGAAAACATGTTTGGGTTGTCTAAAGGCCCTGCCATCGCAACCGCACATGCGCACCGCACGCGAGTTCGGCATCCTGACCGCTGCTTGCCTTGCAGCTTCAGCAAGCCACTGATGCAACACCATTCTGGCTAATCAACAGGGTGACAAGCCAAGCCATTGAAGCAAAACAAGCCATGGAACACACATCAGCTTTCCTAGGAAAAACCAAACACTGGCAAATCAACGTGGTTTGATTAGAGTGGCTTTTTGTTAGCGCAGGCCAGCCGGTATTCGCAATTCCCACCTGAGGCAATGACCGCTGCAGAAATGGCCGGGGGCCTTGGTCCGGTGCATGTGTGTGTGTGTGCGCGCACGTGTGTGTGCGTGTGTGCATGTGCGTGCGTGCGTGTGTGGGTGTGCATGTGTGTGCGGGCGCCCTGCGGGGTTCAGGGTTCAATTACTTGTTCCCTGCCGTTCGCAGAGCCATGAAAACAACACTTCAAGGCAACATATTTAGAGGGAACCGTTCCGAAATGTCAGGGTGTCTGTTAGTTTGCCCACACAACACGTTGGACACATTGAGCTGGTTGCCCCTAACCAAGTCCAACACATGGGGTTGATATTCATACTCTGTTTTGTTGGTTGGGCCTAGCTTTTTCTTGCTTGGGCCGCCCTGCGCATGAGTCGCTTTGTTTGGTGTGCAACATGTGACAGTCTGCACGTTCTTGTCTGCGCGGCATTTGGTCAGCAATGGGCGCAACAGAGCACAAACGTGCATGCGCACAATCACACATTACAAAACCAGCAGCTGCAGGAATCAACGCTCAGCCAAGATAATAGTCTAAAAATACCCGCCCATAGCATATCCACGCCCGATTGCCTCATACTGCCCAAGAAAACCCAGTGAGCCCGAAACCGAAAGGCCCAGCGGGCCCGAAAGGCCCAGCTGGCCCGAAAAGGGCGGCCCAAACCCGAGGAGCCAAGGCCCACCCCTGGACGGGGGCATCCTTACCGCCCAGCTGGCAGGTCAAGGCAGAACAGGTACCTGAGCCGCCTGGCCGCCTTCAAAATGCTCCACCTTGACGGCCGAAGCGGCATTCCCAGGAGTTCGCAGCATTCATGAAAGAGAGATCTGGCACCAGGAAAACTTTGCAAAACACCAGCAAACGTGGCAACGGGTGCTCCAAAAAAATATAGACAGAGCGAGAAGAGGCGCTCATGGGGCTCCGGCAGCAGCAAAGAAGGTGCCCCAGCAGTGGCAAAGAAGGGTCAAACAGAAAAGAACAAGCAGGAAAAAAGAAAGAGGGCGCAGAAAGCAAAGAAGGAGAAAGCAAAGGAGGAGAAAGCAAAGGAGGAGAATGCGAAGGAGGAGAAAGCAAAGGAGGAGAAAGCGAAGGAGGAGATGGGAAAGGAGGAGAAGTCAAAC